GAGCAAACTTAGCTCAGTTTTATGAGTACGACCGCTGATATATACGTATATGAAACGTTCAAATGATTTTAAACAAAACGTAGTATATATTATATATGTAACTGTAAAAAATAGTAAACAAAGACACGTTTAAAACATTTTCATGGTAGGCTGTGAAAGTGATACTTCTTGAAGGAACTATATTATGTATATAATTTTTTTAATTTGACAGCGATATTACCCAATGTTGTGATATGTTGAGCCTCATGTATAATTTGTAGAAATATGAAATGACCACTTAAACACCTATAAATATAAGTGTTTTAAAATAAATTTAAATACTAGACAATTTTAAACATAGGCAAATGCTAGTTATTTGTTCTAAATCTAACGTCCACGACAAAAACTTAGTTAAAAATTTAGTTGAGTTATTAATTTATAATTCATTATAAACCTAAGAAGAATATAAGAAAACCTACAAAGCAACACCAGGCAAGTACAACATTTAACATCGATAATTTTAACTTAATTTCAAACTGCGTACGTAAACGGAAATTTTAAAAATATGTGTTCAAGTTTAGAACATGTTGTGCGTGTCTATAATCAGGCTACATTTTAGACGTTATAAGCTTAGACTAATTTCAAAAGGGTAGGTCTAATATAGTCATCTTTCTTATAACAAATAACTAGATTATATACTTTAGTATTTCCCAACTAACCCCCTTTGTTTACATTCGCTTAAAAATTTTATGACTGTACTGTAAGTCTATGAAAGTTCAGAAGCCTAGACGTTAAAAAAATACAAATTTTTAATTAATTCAACATACGATAGTATCTAATCAGACATTTATTGTCACATTCAGTATTATTCAATATGTGTACTTATTGTCTACAACAGTGTCCTAATCCTTTTAACGTCGCTATCTACTCAAAATATTCAAATAATTTTTGTGTATATAATTGATATTTTAGACATGTACGAATATCGTTGAATTTAAATTGACCTGATAATTTATTTTTGAAACTAAAATGAATGTTACATTTTGAGATAATATAACAATCATATTTTTATAAAAGTTATAGTAATTTCAGGGCGATTCTTTGATATTTTTTGCTTATTATTCTACCACTTACGTTATATTCCTAATTATACTGGTACGGTTGAAAATAAAGAATGTTTTACTATAACATCGACCTGAAAATCACAAAATGATAACCTACTCGTTCTAAATTTAAAATTTGAGAGTCTTTTTTAATTCAACATGGAGCACGAATATACGTAGCAACAGATATACCTATACTATGAATAAAATTTTACAACAATCAACATTCATAAGAGTATGCACTAAGCGATTGTAGCATTATGTGAAAACTACGAGTTATCCATTTAACACCTAGAACACAACCTTTATATGGCCTGTAATGTATGTCCGGTTTTTAATGAGTAATTTCTTGGCTTCAAATTAAAGTTTTGAAATAACTTTACTAATATTAATTCAGTAATCCAAATAAGAATCTAGAAAAAATAAAATCTACTTAAAGCTGTATGCTTACGCTGTCGTAAACCTAAATACGGTATTTTTGTCCTTTATAGTTAAAATTCATAAATATATCTTAAATCAAAGCTTCATCTTGTCTTTGGCAAATAGAAATAAATTTTAGAATACCATTGTTTTCATTCATTATTATAAAATATTTATTGTCGCGTTGAACAATAAAGTTCGTTACAAATACATATCTATTTAAATTTATAATCTGAACTTTATTACGAGCTAGAGTCAAACCAGCTGACCCGAAGAAAATATGCTCTGAACACGTAACAATTCATCTACTATAGTTAGAAGTTTAACAGCGATTTATATCTACATATAAGGTATACGATACGACATATATTACGTTATCGACACAAACTGACCATGTATACTACCATATGTATAAACATTTAGAATTGAACATGTTAATTACATGTTTCGTATAAAGCCAATTACCAATGCATTTCTTGTTATTTATAATCTTTATGTATTTTGATAGTGTTTTACACACTAAATCTGTCTCTAAAAATCAACGCAAGCGACTAGTAAAATAGAAAGTGGAATTTAGAAATGCCATTTACAAAAGTGTAGAAAAGGATTACAATTAGGATGGAAAGTAAAATTTTAAAAATTATCTGATAGTACCAATCCTTGCAGCACAGCAGTTATTCCAAATGCCACTCTTAATGCGTTAAAATCCTTATCTCTGTTTAGTTTAATAAAATATGTTAATTTGACGTCTTTTACAACTAGTGTTGCTACAAAAATAGAAAGATTTCCTTAGGATAGTTACCCTAAGAAAATCCTACTACTTAAGGGTTAACTGAAATTATATTCCATGTGCATTGTCCATGCAAGAATCTGAAAATCTGTATGTTTTAGAAATAAAAACTGATTTTGGGAATATTTGAAGTCCATTACCCGTACTTAAGCGGGTTTGTGTTTTTCCTGTTGATTATTATTTATTACCCTCTCAAAAATAAAGTTTTGTAAATTATTTTTATAATTTAATTATTATTAATTACATAATTATATTTTTATACTACACTTGTAGCAGAAGGTATATTATATTATGCGCAAACCTTCGTATGGTATTAAATGTTTACACTCCAAAATCATCTATAATTTTAAAAAAATGATTGAGTTGCAATAAAGAAATGATTATTCAAGAAGGGATGGATAGATTGTAGAACTCTAAAGCAGGAAGAACTACATACAGATTTTGTCTATCATCTATCTTCTATTAAATTATCTAACTATCCTATTCGTGTAAAATTAGTATGAAATGGTAATATATTTACAGTTTATATATCCTCTACATATATATAAGGTCGTAGTATGTAATCAAGTTTATTGTATGTATTTTACAGGTCATATTTGACTCTGAATTAACAAAAAGAAAATCGTCAACTATATGTTAGTGTGTGAACAAAAAAAAATTAGGCAATCTTAAATATTTTTGGTAAAATACGGTTGGAATAAATAAACCTTGAAACCAATTTTAAGAACAAATAAAACTTTTATAAATAATAAATTACGATACTGCTGAAAATACTAATCAATAGAAAGTGATATAAGGCCTAATTTACATAGGTTTTACATATAAAAATTTATATCTCATTAGGAAATTAAATTTATATAAAGATTACCCTTAATTATATTAGGGTTATATAAAATTTTCAATAATTTTACTCTAATAGAAAAGCTCGAGTTAAGAAGGTGGCTCATAAGAAGTCGACAACCTTTCGTGAACTAACGTGGACACTAAGTAGTTGCGAATTTGTTGTAAACACACAAACATGTGACACGTGAACACATGTAACACGCAACACATGTACTTGAATATTTACAATATTAAAATTTGATATCAAGTATTGTTAGCGCAAACAACGATTTATATATATTTTTCAATTTCATTATATGTACGAAATTTTGCGACGAATAGTTTAAAACAAATATTTTTAGCAACTAAAACAATTTAGGTATTAAATGAATTTATTTTTCTTTTGGAATTACAACAGCCTGTATGGATAATATTGAATTTGATAACTACAACCGTAATGAATGCGCTAACAGTAACTCCTCATAATTAACACAGTACTACACCTATTTAATATAATATATATTATGAATAATACATTACTTAGTTTGAGCATATGTTTTATATATCTATTATAAAAACAACATAACATAAAATTTATGGTATGTTTCCATTAAACACATAACTTGTTCGTTACGAAACACAAAAGTTTAGTACACTGCTAAAAGGAATTTTTCCGAATTAAAAATTGCAACAATTCACAAAAGGTTATAATAAGTTAAATATATATTCCCAAACAAATGTCAACTATCTCTAAATAGACATTTTCTATAATCTACGTTTACGGAATTTAATTGATACCTTTGCTGCTATTTCAATATTCTGTTTCTTATAGACTATTAAAGCTATTTTACTAATTAAATTTATTATAATTTATTATATTAGTAAATTTAACACGAATATTGTCATTAAGGATGCATATCTATATATTCATACCTTTCAGATATATAACAAATGTTTGACGAATGTATGGATAAAACAAATGAAATTACATAATATTGACAACTTAAATAAATATTTTATATCAATACCAATGAAAATGTTTATATCGTTACAAATTTTAGTTATTTTATCTAAAATTAATTTATCTAAACTTTATTCCTGTTATTATAGGATGTAAAATTTATTGTCATTTTGAAGGAAGAACGATAGGTGCTTTAAAAACATTTATCTTAATTAAAATAGAGGACTTCGTTTGGATGGAGACAGTTGTTAATAAATATATATTCAAATCTGCATCCAAACGAGCAAAAGACACACTTACATTCTTTACACTATAAAAGCACTTTTCTCTAAGACTACCAACACCAAACATCAAACAAATACGCACTAACAGATCTAGACTTCTATGACACAGAAGAAAATAAAATTTTTAAGGGCGTCATATAAAAATCTCTAAAGCTTTTTTCCACTAAAAGCTATTCCACTTAACCTAGAGCGCCTTATAGTTTCTAAACGTCTCAGTATAATATAAATGTCACATTTAGCGCCGGAAATCTCGAGAAAAAGTTTCGAGTGGCGCGAAATAAACGTCAATGTTTAAAAAAGATCTACCTTGATCATTGACACGTTAACTTTTCAGTACAATCGATTCCACTCCACCGTAGGTCACGTATCACAGCAACAAAGATTCAAGTCACACGTTATACGAGTGATATGTTATTATTTAGCCGTTTCTCAATTTAAAAGTTACTTATTGTCGTAATTTTAAAATTTATTGTCCTTAGTACAATAATTATTGTCATAGGTTAATTTTATTGTCATTTTTTTTGTTATTTAGTGTATTTTATCATTTTTAAATAAATTTATCTAAATATAGTAAAGAGGTAATTGTTTCACCATTAAACTTATCAACTATAGGTACTGGTATGTTTGCTTATTATTTTTTCGTGGTCGTTAGTGTATTTGTTGGTGTTATCTGTTGTAAGTTTCTGACAGTTTATTGTAATAAAAATGAATTCTCTATTACCTATAAAAATATTTAATTAGCTATTCAAAACGTGAAAAATAATTAATCTTTAATCATTTAATAATTATAACTTTTAACAAAAAGTTAAAACCGAATTTAAATGGCTAAAAAGAAAGTTATTTATTTGCTTACTATTAAGGGTGGAATTCATTTCTCCAAATTTATATGGGATCAGCCTTGAAGTATAACCTATAAAAGATCGCGTAACATAAATACAAAAAAATCATACACTCGAATTGAGAACTTCCTCCTTTTTGAAGTCGGTTAAAAACAATAAAATATTTGTAACGACTGCATACTCAGTATTAGGTCTTAGGACAGAAGTGGTAGCAGAGCTGCTATTACAAAAACATCGTTATGTGGAAATACATTTAAATAATGCTTAAAAATGGAATAGATGATTGCTGTAACAAAATGCTATCCTATCAAATTAGTTCGTATTAATGATAGGATTATTTAGATTTAATCAGTTATCAAAAAATAAAGTTATTTTGTCCTGCAAATACCTGAAAAACGATTGAGTGTTACTGATCGTTCAAATATTGAATGGCAGAATGGTGAAACACATTACCTATCTAAATATCGTTCCCGTGATGCTGCCGGGTGATCAATACTTGCTAGACAGAGATCCGCTCTCAGATGTCACCCTCCGACGGGGCGTTGTCGTCGTTGTACAGTTGTATCTGGCGTTCTATCCACGGTATGTACTTGGGCACGTACGCGTACACGCCGGGCAGGCGCGGGTGCGCACACTTGATGCCCCACGACACGATGCCGCCCACGTACCAGCGCGCCGGCTCGTCCGGGTCCCTGCAGAGCAGCGGCCCGCCGGAGTCACCCTGCCAACGAACAACTTGACGTGAATACTCCGAGTCTTTAAATTTGCTTCTATAATGGGAGGCAATTAAAAACTTGATGATAACATTATTGGGGGATACTATTTTATACGTGGTAGAGCCATGCTGCAGCTATATTAGTAGTATAGTTGTAGCACGAATGGGTCAGCTCGACCGAGGAAGGTCCACGCTCTCACAGAATACCAGCGTAAAATAGCAGCTTAACGCTGCTGTGTTTCGTATGGTGAGTGTAGAGCACCGAAGACCCTTTTTACTGGAAAAGAGGCATTCCATCTTAGTTATTACGGGTGACAGCGCATCTGCATTTTGATTCGCAAACGAGGATAGATGTAGATGTCTATGAGCCACAGCAACCACTTACCATCAAGTGGACTGTGTGCTCGTTTGTCACCCTATGCTATATAAAAAAAATAGAATAAAATTTAATTATGGAAGGCTATGATAGTATTGTCAGTACAGCCAAAATCTTCATAGTTGTTAGATTTTAACCTTGTTTTTATAGAAGAGCGGACAAACGAACATGCGACTTATCTGCTGGTAAGCGTCGACCGCAGTATATGAACAACTGCACCACCAGGGCTACGTTGCTAGTGGTTAGAGTAAGCTCGTTTCTTGTAGGTCCTAAGTCGTTACCTACCTGGCATGCATCCTTTCCGCCTTCAGGGTAACCGGCGCAGATCATCCCCGATGTGACGTTGAGGTCGCGGTGTTCCAGCCACTGGTTGCACAGCTCTCGGCTCAGCACCGGCACTTCCACTTCGTTCACTGCTGGCTCGTATTCGGACACTAAATATAACCGCTTATATTATTTCACCATGTATTAATAAACGTTATGTATATATAGATATACATAGAGTTTTCTGTAAGATAGACTCAGAAATGAGCATATATGCAGCAGAACCAGAGTAACCAATATAGCCCAACAAATCGGTAAGCTGAAGTGGCGATAGGCTGAGCATATAGCTCGAAGAATTGACAAGCGACGGGGCGGAAATGTTCTAGAGTGGCAGCTTCGTACTGGTCAGCGAAGTGTGGTGCGGAAGCACTACTACCTAAAATGACGATCAAGTAAGAGATGCAGAAATTCTATGAAAGCAGTTAGCTCGAGACCATGCCTTGTGGTATTTCTTGAGGAGGCCTGTGTTCAGCAATGGACTTGTGAAGGGCGGTAATGTATAAAAGATGATCTACAAACTATAATTTGAATTAGCTACTTTCAGTAGTGTACCAAAACTTAATCGGTTTTGACGTGGCAGAGCAACATTGTAAGTAGAGATTGCATTATCCGGATTTTTTTGAAATCCGAATTTCTGAAATTTCCTATAATTAAAATCCGGATTTTTCAAAGTTTTAAGGTGATTTGATAAAACGGAAATAAAACAGCATAAATCATTTAAAATCTGCATTTATTAAGACACGACAAAATAAAATCAACTAAAATACTTGTAAACAACAAAACACAGTCATAACCTAAACATAACATAAAATCAAATGCAACAAAACGTATTTAGGTATCCATCTTTTTTATAAAACTGTAGTTTCGATAAAACGAATGTTTAAGGTAACTCAGTTACAAATAAGAGAAGAAATAATTAATAAATTCTATTTTTATGACATTAATTTAGTACATATATTAATCAGTCTTTTTTAGAAAACGAGATCTTAAAAACATGAAAGCGTCAACTGTCTCATCGTTTAGACGTGATCTTATTTTATTACAGAACATGCCAACTGTGGAAAAAGCTCTCTCAGACTCAACACTGGTCAGTGGTATGGAAAGCAGCGTGTTCAGAGCTTTTTTTTTAGGATTTATCCACGACCTCCACCGTTTTCAAATAAAGCCATTTCAACGTGAATTATTGAAGGCAAATCAGTTGCCCTGATTACACTCGTTGACTGGTGTTGATCACTACCCACATTTGCTAGAGAAAGTTGGCGATTGAGCTTTTCTTTAAAACTGAGTGGCAATGGATCAGAACTATCGCACAGAGTTTCTGAAGGAGAGATCGTATTAGTCGACGTGTTCGTGCAATCGTCAACATCCACGGATGCAGCTTGATAGAACACATTTTTAATTTCTTCATACATAGGTTTTTTAAATATATCTTCGTCTTCCTCAGTCTCATTTAAAAATTGATTAGGTTGTGTAAGTATTGTAAGGCGCCGACAGCATTATAGAGTCGCCTCTCTTTAATTCTTCGTTTCAATGAAATTGCCAGTTGCCTGGCAGACATCATGTCTTGGCTGTCTAATGATTCCATCAAAAAATTAAGAGATGTATCTGCCGTTAGAATATTAGCATCTCTGCGGCAGAGTACTTCCACAGTAGTTTTGATTATGTCCAAACAAATTTGCAGATTTTCTAGACATAAAATGTCTATATCTGAGAATTTAATACCAGATTTCATATCAATCAATGCCTTCTGTATGCTTTAGCTTTAAAAATCGTTCCAGCATATTTGATAGACTGCTCCACCTGGTTTTGCAGTCTAGGAGTAGTTGTAACTCTTTTCCAAATCAGCTTGGGCATATTTTTGGAGCGTGGCGTCGTTCTTTGTAGATGAGTTTTTAAATATCTTCACCACTGACCGGACTTTTTTAATTATTTTCTTATATTCATCATTCAGCACTCCGTGTCCCCGTGAATGCTCGACAACAAATCCGTCAACGTCATCAATGTCATTATCAGTTTCATCTGAGTCAGAATTTGAGCATGTTTCCGGATCCTCACGTGGTTGTTGATTTTTTTTTTGTATAAAGCATCTTGTACAGGCAGTTGCACACCGTGTGCAAGGCATAATTGATGAAACGGAATTGGCAGAATACGCCCAAGCTTCGCCATGACAGCTGCGCCGTCAGTTGTCAATCCAATGATGTCTTTGTCCAAACAAATTCCGAAAAAATCTAATCTTATTTCTATGAGTGAATGACTAGCTTCAGCTTCCATAGACGTTACAATCCTTACTAATCCCAGATTTTTGCAGACATTTTCGCCATCAACATTTTGAAAATGAATATTTAAATATAGGTATCGATGAGATTTAATTGAAGTCCACTCATCAAGAGTGATTGACCACTTGGTATTTTTAGTCTTCATAACTTTTATCTCTACATTAAGAGTTAATTTTTCTGTGTTACACATGTCCATTACCATTTTTTTATTGAATTTGGTGACTTTGGGATGGCTTCTTTATAATTTTTTTGCATTAACTGTCTGAGATCTGCCGACGAACAAAATACTTTTAGCGGTAACCCGTCTAAAACGACCATTCTTGATATAACGCTAGTTAACGAGTCTTGGCTTTCATAATAGTCGGTGATTTTTTGCTTTTTAGCAAATGGAACACAACTTTTGCTAGTTGAAGCGATAGGTGTGTCTTTTTGTTGAGAATTGGTGCTTACACTTTCATTACTTTTTACATTAATGGAATGTTTCTTGTGTAAGTGGGTGTGTAATGTTGACGTGCTTCCACTTATTTTCAAAATGCTATAACAGTGTTTGCATTTTGCCTTTTGCCCATTCGTCACTTGACTTTTTGGTATAATCTATGAACTCAATTTTTCATTCGGTTGATCTAAAAATAAAAAGTATAAAATAAGTATGTTATGTTTTATTAATTCATTTATGCATATAAATAGATAGACACCCACTATATATCAGAAGTTAAATAGACACCAACTAAATTAACAGTTATTGATCTACTGCAGAATAAAACTTCATACAATTTAAAGTTAAGATGAAAAATTTATAGCATTTTAGAAGCAGGAGTCTTAACTTAATCTTAATAAACCATATGTACTATAAAACCAACTCGATAAGCAAGCAGCAACCGTGAGAGATTACTTATGTACTACATAATTGTTAGTAACCCCTTTAGTTTTTTCTTAGTCACAAAATGTTACTTTAAGTGAATAAAAATTGAAGATAGTAAAAGATTATTGACATCTTTCACGGTTACGTAAATGAAACATTTTACTTATAAGTACCTATAGTTTATATCTATTTACACCGGGAAACTAACCATTCCATTACCTCATTTATAAATTTAAACTTAAAGCCAACACATCGCGTCATTCACACCATACAGGCAAATTAAACACATAAAAATAGTAGTTAAAATTTATATACTTAATTGCTGTGTAGCGCGCGCCGCATTGCACATGCACGCACACGAATTCACACGATAGACGACAAACAATTCAACACAACCACTTCCTATGAAACTTGCTGGCCGACTTGACCGACACTGATGGTGACTATCGTGGGATTTTAACCGGTAGGAGTCCGTAAAAATTTTCGTTGGCCCCGCGGCGGAAGGTATCCGTGAGTACTTCCCCAAGATAAAAAAGGTACTTACTGTCTTTGTCGTCGCGCTTGCCCCAGCCGATGACGGTGCAGAGCGTGCCCGGCTCCAGCGAGCGCTGCGCCGGAGGCAGACACACTGGTGACAACTGCTCGTGGTAGCGCACACGTACCGCCAGCTACGAGTTCATTAACGATTTGGTATTTAAAGGAGAAAACATGGTACAATTCATTCTCTAAATTTGTTACGACTTTAATAGCACGGGGAGTGCTCTGAGGAATTGTTCGGATTAATTCCAGCCGCTAAATTTCACGAACGCACATCGCGTCAAAATTCACGATACCATCCTCACCATCAGGATGCTTGGCGGTCCACGACTGTGCATTTTACTAGGAATTTTCTTCCTCGTACAACTTCTCTGTGGAATTGTTTAGCACCGGCGATTTTTCCGGACCGATACGACTCAGGGACCTTCAAGAAAAGAGCATACACCTTTCTAAAAGGCCTGCAATGCATCTGCAATTCCGCTGGTGTTGCGGTTGTTCATGGGCGGCGGTAGTCACTTACCATCAGGTGCGGCGCATGCTCGTTTGCCCCCTCTTCTATAAAAAAAATTATGCTGGTGTGTTTCATATGGCGAGTGTAGAGAACCGGAGACACATATTACTGGAATCGGGGCATTCCATCTTAGTCTTCAGGAGTGACAATGCATCTGCATTTTGATTCTTAATTGAGGATAAATGTAGATGCCTATGGGCCACAGCATCCACTTACCATCAGGTGGAATGTGTGCTCGAAACTTATAAATATACAATATGCAAAAAAAATGTCTAATCCGGGACATTCATATACAAACTGTAGTCAAGCAATTAATTATAATAAACGAAAAAAAAAACATGAAAGAAGAATGAAGTTTGTTATTTATAATAAACTTTATTACAATTTACTTAATATTAAATAAATTTTTAAAATTGTCAACACCGTCATCGGTGTCGGTATCTTTCTTTAAACTTGTGGCGTTACTCGATGCTCGCCAATGTCCAATGGTATATTTATTTATGTGCAGTGATTTTGTTTATCGAATTTATTTCCTGAAAAGTATTATATAAATATCACGATGGTTAAAAGCACCATAGGATCGGGCAGGGTTTTCTTTACATAATGTATGACCACACATTTAAAAATATAATATCAGGATTGATATTGAGAACTAAAATAAGAAGAAAAGAAAATCTACGTACTTGGAAAAGAGCGATGTCGTTGTCATGTGCGACTCCGATGTTGTATAGGGGGTGGGGCACCACGCGGCGCACCTTCACCTTTTGACCGTAGTATGCGTGCGAACGTCTTCTTGTGATTCCTAGCTGGATCGTCCAGCCGCTCACGTCCGAGTGGCTAAAGCAGACATGGATAATTAAAACCTCCAATCCCACATTATAGGAACCCGGAACATTTATTTGTGTAGTTATTTGGTGTTTGTGTTTTTACATATACCTAAATACATGAACACTCACGCCTGTCACCCAAAGGGGTGGGCAGAGACTATGGACTTCCATTTGGCACGATCCTGACACACCTTTCTCGCTTCCTCCACATCGATATACCTACGCATACACGCTCGTCGGTTAAAGGTACTCTTGATTTGGCCCATTTTCAATATATCGCCAATTTGGTCGATAAACTTTCGCCTAGGGAGACCCTTCCCGACTTTGCCGTTCACCTCTGTTATTTGCTCTGACACTCTTTCCTCATTCATTCTTTCTACATGACCTTGTATGTTTTTCTATGTTCAATTTACGATATTTATGTGCATCAATTAAATGTAGGGAAGTTTAAGTAATTGTAGGGACAATACAGGGTATAGTCCTCGTGTTTAGTGTGTAGCCGTAGGAGGGAAAAGGGGAGATCTCCCGCCGGGCAAGGTGTTCTGCCCGGGGAGCGGGCAACGCTCCGATCGGTAGTTCGGAGCTATTCTATATATGCTGCTTTAACTTCGGAACTTTGTTAGTGCGATTTAGGCTTCGATGTGTTTCGCTTGTGGCGCGACGACAGCGCCGCCACAAGTGTCTATCGTATGGTTGCATTGTAAGCATACGATACTTACTTAATATTTTAATGAAACCAGCTGATTTACAAAAAAACATGTGATTTATAAAAATGTCATAATTTATGGAACTATTATTAATAATTTAATACATTTTACGTGGTACAGCTATATTATGGCTCTAGTACGAATGGATTAGTTCAACCAGTGAGAAACCACATTGCCACGGGTTACCAGCGTTAAAGACAATGCTGATATTTGGTGATTGACGACAACCGGAGACATTTTTTGCTGGAATTCTATTTTAGTTTCCAAAGATCATGTTTGCATGTGCATCTGCATTTTGATTCCTAATTGATGAAAGATATATCTATGAGTCACAGCGTCTACTCACAATCAGGTGGACTGTGAGCTCGTTTGTCACCATCACTGCTATATAAAGCACCCAAAATTTATAGCCTGACAATGCTGATATTTGGTGATTGACGACAACCGGAGTCACTTTTTGCTGGAATTCTATTTTAGTTTCCAAAGATCATGTTTGCATGTGCATCTGCATTTTGATTCCTAATTGACGAAAGATATATTCTATGAGTCACAGCGTCTACTAACTATCAGGTGAACTGTGAGCTGCGTTTGTCACCATCACTACTATATAAAGCACCCAAAATTTATAGCCTAACAATGGTGGGTACACTCGCCTACTTGCCTGTTCAGCGAGTTAGTTTGAGCAAATATTTCAAGTAAGGCTTTATAGCTGGTAGGTTTTTGGATATATCTACGCCAGTTTATTCAAAGTCTATTTATCTATGTAGTCTCTACATAGTATAAAGCAAAGTCGCTTCCAAGCGTCTGTTCGCTTAGAACTTTTAAACAACGTAACTAATTTTGATGCGGTTTTCATCAATAGACAGAATGATTCAAGAGGAAAGTTTATATGTGTTATACATGTGTTATATGTGTTATGCAATGTAAACCTTTTTAATTTCTCATAAATACGCAATTTTGCTACTGTACTATTAAATTTTACGATATTTAACTTTTCGCAACATTACTCAGTGTTAGCTGTGGTTGCCTATAACTGGGTGAGCACATTGCATGTTTCTCACAATGCTTGGATCTTTTTGCTCAATCAACTCCCCTTCTATTCTTATTTCACATAACGTTTTACTTTATTCTCTTTCAAAAACCATCACTTTCGTCTTACTTGCGTTCACTTTCATACCCCTTTCACCTTTAATGACCAGTTCATTAAAGTAACCATCATTTGCAACTCGGCCGCCGACGATGCAAATATGACTTGATCATCGGCGTACAAAAGGCATTTGACGGTTAACTCACCCATTCTCAAACCACATTCTTCAACTTTCAAAGTTTGCAAACAACTGTCCATAAACAGGTTAAACAGGCATGGGGAAGCTACACAGCCCTGTCTGACACCTTTTGAATGCCAAATCAGTCCGAGTAGACCCCGTTGATCCTGACACAACACTAGAGTCCCTATAAAGAGACTAATACCTGTATCAAACCAGCGCTCAACCCCAATAAGTTCAGTGTTTGCAATAACACATTCCTGTCCACTCTGTAATAAGCCTTCTCCAAGTGCATGAATGCACAAAAGCTTTCTGGTGTTACTCACTTGCCGACGCAATGCGAAGCCGTCAGCACCCATTGGTCAGCGACAAGGACTCCCGCGCAGTAAAACACTTCCTCGGGCCCGCCGAGTATTGCAGCGAGGAACGGCCAGTCTCCGGGCGACGCCTCCACACCGCCCACGATGCGTTTCGTTCCCCCGCCTATTGTCCGACGTTTTCCACACTCTGTCGAATGAATACTTTATTTTTATCTATACCAAAATTATAGAGAGTGAGAATTAGATTAGTTTGTGTATACGTGGAGGGTGATCTCTGGAACCACTGCACCTATGTGAAAAATTATTTCACCATTTGAAAGGCACACTATTTCAGATAGACATAGGTTATATATTATTTATTTATTTATTTAAACTTTTATACACAAAAAATAAAATCGTACCTACATATGACGGATTTCATACCTTAAGGCATTCTCTCACAGTCAACCATTAGGCTAAGCAGAGATAAACATATCTCTGCTTAGCCTGATGGTTAAATAACGGAGAAATAAAGGTAACGAAATTAAACAGAAATAAACCAGAATATGTAATAGAAGAAAATCTACGTAAATACATACATTATATATATATATATATATATATATATATATATATATATATATATATATATATATAATTAGTACCGTCTCCTTTTTGAAGTTGGTAGAAAAAACGTTCGCCGTTTACAAAACAAAGAACTAGTCTTCTCGCCTGCTCGCAGTCGACTAAATAAAAATTGGCCGGTACTTAGTGCAATGTGTATTAGTATCATAGTGCTCGTATATATATATATTATTAAAACATTGCATATTTTTGTTTTTGAAAATAAACTTGTTGGAAACTCTTTTAATGTCAAGAGGTATTCCGTTCCAGAGTTTTATAGCCGTAAGAGCGAAAGAGTTTGACATATAACCAGTACGGTGTAAAGGCGTTAGCAACTTTAGGTTATCCGAAAAACGGAGAAAAGAATTATGAGTATCTCCTAGGTATTACATGTATAGTAAACAGTGCAGAGCATTCTACCATACCTGCGCTGACTGTGTTAAGATGCTGTTGAGTCTGTGTAACACACATGCATTATGTGTAGATACATTCAAATAGTCGCAGATGTTAGTGAAATACCATCAAATTATATCTTGATAGAATAACAAATTAGACAGATTACTTCATATTTTCTTTACAGCTCCCGATAAAAAACAGAATTACAAAAATGAAGTAATAAAAGGGATTAGACAACATAATTGTCTGATCCAGTTCAATAGCAGTAAATTAAACATTATAAAGTTTGTTTATATTAAAATTTCTTTCGTCTACTTAAATCGAAATCAGTGAAAGATTCAATCCGAATTTCATATTTGCTCCTAACCCAGTTACGAAGTTGGGACTTATTCAATTAAAAGTTTGTTATTTTGTTGTAATTCTATCTAAATAGAATTTAGGTTGCGTTTGAATGAAAAACGTGATGTAAATACTATCCGTATTCCTACATTTAAATAAACAAAAATCAATTGCCACGGGTATGAAACATGATGCTTTGAGAAGTGTTAGACCGATTTTTATGAAATTTTTCGTGTGTGTGAGTAGGTCTCGTGGTTTAGGTTCACTATTGGACCCGGTAAGGTTTTTTTAGGATAAGGGTGACAAACGAGCACACAGTCCATCTGCTGGTAAGTGGATGCTGTGCTCCATAGACATTGAATACCAGCGTAAAATAGCAGCTTAATACTGCTGTGTTTTTACTCGAAAGGAGGCATTACATCTTAGTCCTCAAGGCTGACAACGCATCTGCATTTTGATTCGCAAACGAGGATAGATGTAGATGTCTATGGGCCACAGCAACCACTTACCATCAGGTGGACTGTGTGCTCGTTTGTTACCCTATTTCTATAAAAAAAAACATATCTACATTTCTCCCCGATTAAGAATCAAAATGCAGATGCATTGTCACCCTTGAGGACTAAGATGGAAGATCCAGATCAAGATCCAGTAAAAAGGGTCTCCGGTTCCCTACACTCAACATATGAAACACAGCAACGTTAAATTTTTTACACTGGTATACTGTGAGAGCGTGGTCCTCTTCGGTCGAGCCGACCCATTCGTACTATAATCATAATATAGTTGCAGGGTGGCTCTTTTCGTATAAACGCTGTAGTTGAGATCCAGAAATCACTCGCGCAAAGCCGGGGTGGATCGCTAGTATTAAATATAAGTAAAAGTAAACTAAACTTACAGCCTATATATGTCTCGAACAGAAAACAAGTTAAACTTATTTCTGAATTGGTTGTGGAGTAATAAGTCCGCCGAACAGCTTCAATCCATGTTGGCGGACGTCACGATATATTATAATTGTTAGAAATATGTTTATTACATGATACTGTGGAAGCACTAGATGGAGTGACGACCTGGTAAGATATGCAGGAAATCGATGGATGCAGGTGGCTCAAGACCGTGCTTTGTGGCATTCCTTGGGCCTATGTTCAGCAGTGGACTTGTGAAGGGCTGTAATGATGATGACGACGACTGTGGAAGCTGTGGAGAAGTAAGCAAAGTGAACTAATTTAGCTGTTGTTTCATCATCAATCTTTACTATTGTACGTATGAATTGTGACTTCATTTTATTTTTTAAAAACAATCGAAAACAAATTTTAATCATGGAAAGTAACATTTGAATAAGAATTGGTTAAGTAATTAGAATTCAAATGGTATCTCATAACAGTCAGTAGTTTGTAAGAAAGATAAAATACAGTAACATGGACTGATGAGTTCATGGTACAGTAAATATTTTGAATCGTTCAGTCTTTTAGTATTTACAAACCACAAATTATAAACCACGTAAAACCTTTTCAGCAAAATTCTTAAAGACGAAACAAATGAAAAACGTCTTAAATATAATTTTTTTAATACTCCAAGCGAAAAGCTTTCGGTTTCGCATACGTACATTCTTATTAATGTTTTTTCGGAACAAACAAAAGGAATTATTTCGTGGGATGTTTCAAGTAGAGAAATAAGTAAATATTTGAGATATAATATAATCAATTGAATTGTTTCGAATGTAAGAATGGGTTTCACACTTTGATTTAAAATTACTGTAGTCAGTGACGAGTATGTGATTCAACTTCATCTTAATGTTATTTAAATTAATTAAATTATTGGATTGTCTTGTGGCGGTGTGAGAATATCCACCGGCCATGTCGTCCAGGGGTGTCGTAAGAAGCGACAAGAGGAAACTAAAACGGGATATGGACAGTAACATTTTTTTATAGGATAAGGATGACAAACGAGCACACAGTCCACCTTATGGTAGGTGGTTTCTGCGGCCCATAGACATCTACATCTATCCTCTATTACAAATCAAAATTCAGATGCGTTGTCACCCGTGACGACTAAGATGGAATGCTGCATTTCCTGTAAAATAGGTCTCCGGTTCTCTAAACTTACCATACGAAACACAGCAGCTTTAAGCTGCTATTTTACACTTGTATTCTGTGAGAGCGTGGTTCTTCCCCGGTCGAGCCGACCCATTCGTGCTACAATTATACGACTCATATAGCTGCAGCATGGCTCTACCACATAAAAAAATTCTGATAGCACCTCAAAATTATAAGAATCTGCAACTGCTAATCCACCTGAAAAGCATGGCAACTATGGCAATATCCCCCTTTGAGGTGATATATGGCGGAGGCCTATTTTCCTCAGTGGACTCTTGTAGTTGTAGCACAAATGGTTCGGCTAGCCCGGGGAAGTACCACGCTCTCACAGTATACCAGCGAAAACTTAGGAGCTTAATGCTGTTATATTTCGTATAGTGAGTATAGAAAACAGGTGAGAATTTTTAGTGGAAACAAAACATTCCATCTAATATCTCGAGGATAGATATGGATTTCTATGGGCCAGCCCCAACTTACTATCAGTTAGACTGTGTGCTCGTTCTATAAGAAAACAATCTATTATTTTTTATAGGAGAGGGTGTCAAACGAGCACACAGTCCATCTGATAGTAAGTGATTACTAACTAATAATGGTGAGTACATCAATCACCTTCGATTTGCCGGCGATATAGTCCTTATGGTAGAATCACTGGTGAACCTAAGCACTATGCTCTATGACCTCAATAGTGCCTCACAACGGATAGGTCTTAAGATAAACATGGACAAAACAAAGATCATGTGTAACGTCCATGTTACACTTGTGCCTAATTTACGTGGTAGAACCATACTGCAGCTATATTAGTAGTATAGTTGTAGCACGAATGGGTCGGCTCGACAGGGGAAGGACCACGCTCTCCAGAATACCAGCGTAAAATATCAGCTTAAGACTCCTGTATTTCGTATGGTGAGTGTAGAGAACCTGAAACCCTTTTTACTGGAAAAGAGGCATTCCATCTTAGTCCTCACGGGTGACAACGCATCTGTATTTTGATTCTTTATTGAGAATAGATGTAGATGTCTATGGATCACAGCAGCCACTTACCATCAGGTAGACTGTGTGCCCGTTTGTCACCCTATCCTATAAAAATGCCGGTAGTTGTTGGGAGCACTAAGCTGGAAGTTGTTGACGAGTATGTCTACCTAGGACAAATAGTCTGACTAGGTAAGTCCAACTTCGAGAGGTCAATCGACGGATTCAACTCGGCTGGGCAGCGTTCGGGAAATTACGACAAATCTTCTCGTCAGGTATACCTCAAAACTTGAAAACGCGATTGTACAATCAGTGCGTGTTGCCAGTGATGACTTATGGATCTGAGACGTGGTCCTTCACTGATGGCCGTATGAGGATGCTCAAGGTCGCTCTCCGATCTATGGAGAGGGCTATGCTCGGTGTTTCAGTGCGTGATAAACTTAGAAATGAGGATATTCGCAGTAGAACTAGTGTGACCGACATATCCCAACGGATTAGTAAGCTGAAGTGGCAATGGGCCGGCCATATAGCTCGAAGAATCGACAACCGATGGGGAAAAAAGATTCTCGAGTGGCAGCCTCGTAACAGTAGGTGAAGTATAGGGCATTCTCCCACTAGATGGAGTAACGACCAAAAGTAAAACATGCAGAAAGTCGATGGATGCAGGTAGCTCGGGACCGTGCTTTGTGCTATTCCTTTGGAGAGGCATATGTTCAGCAGTGGAGTAGTGAAGGACTGTAATGATGAATGATGAGACGTACCTGCAGTTTTTATTTTATAGTATCTATTA